TTCTTGCAATGAGTAAGTGCTTGAGTGCAGGCCCAATGTCCATCTGCTGCCTTAATACTAAACCTATAGATAGGAGGTGGTGCTGACCAACTCAGGGACAGGGGAGCAACAAGTGATCCAAAAACAGTGGCAAGGAGGGTGCGAGAGACCTGGTAGGGATTCAGCAAGGGCAATGTAACCGAGAGAAATCACTGAAACCCTAATGAAGGCTGAGCATGATAGTGGGACAAGAGGAAAGTAAAGGGAAATAGAGGAAAGAACTAGGGGACAAAGGGTATGTATAGAGGTTTTAAGTCTGGAATGTACATATGTAGATATATAAGAGTGTGGGGATACAGATCTATGGTCAGACATTTGAGCTGCTGCTCTTTGGTGAGCCGAGTGATGCTAGCCGGTATTGATGATTTCTTCGGCTTTAAGTGGCCTGTGTGCTGGATGTTCCCTACTTCGGGTTGAGAGTAACGTTAATTAATTCAGAACTGTAAAGAAACCCCATCTGTGTCTTAAAACAAATGACTATTTTAAAGCTACCTATTTTTAAAACATTGCTAAAGCAGATAATAACTTTTCTTCATAACTGCATATAACTTAAAATGAGAATTTTTTGGCCAACCAAAACTGGCAGAAAATCACACACACAAAATTAGTAAAACCAGAATCTTTATCCCACAAACTTGGGAAAACAGAATTTAAAGGGTGAAACAAAACTTACCAAGCAAAGACCAGCATTACAAACCCAATAACCTGCGTTACCTCCTGTGACTGTGACTATGTAGTTGTCACTTTATTGTTAAAACAATGACAAGATTCATGTTAGTGGAATACGCTTCATCAGTGGGACATATTTAAATTAATTCCATTAAAATGATGACAGTCAAATTTCATCATAGTTTAAAACCAAGACAACACCGCTCTTTTATTTTCTTGATTTAAAATTATAACCTAGTGACTGCGTTCATCATGAAATTTGACTGAAAGCATGGTTGTTGTTGCAATCACTGTTTGTTTTGATTAGAGGTTTTGGGTATTAAAAAAGAATACGCAGGTTTAGTCTTGGAAAGGTAGCGTGCAATCATAATAAAACCCTTGGCTTTGTAGATAAAAATCTTAGATTTTAATCATATCATATTATTAGTTGCATAAATTAGAGCCTTAGTTTTTTAATCTGTTTAATGCAAATCTTAATGCCCTTTGCAACTAATTTTGGAAATTAAATGAAACAACAATTTAAGTATAAGAGTTCCAGTCTCAGAAACCCACAAGTGCAGTTCTGTCAGTCAGAAGAAACTTGGTGGCAATGAGTTTATTTGTGTATTTTTTTAAATGATAAATAGTGCTTTAATGAACCCTAGCAGCTTCGTGGGTTATGCTTTCAAACCATGAGGTTAGCAGTTTGAAAACACCAGCTTCTCCGTGGAAGAAAAATAAGGCTTTGTCCTCTCGAAGAGTTACAGTCCTGGAAGTCCATAAAGGCCATTCTAACCTGCCCCATGGGGTCACCACCAGGAATCAGAATTTGCTTCATGACATTGAATTTGGTTTGGTTTGGTACTTGGGGCATTATAGGAGTCTTGGTTCTCTTTTCTCTTTAAAATATGACTTATGCCCAATATGATTTAGGTAAGCATGTACACTTGAAACTAGTGTATGTTTTAAGCAACTACTGGACAGAAAGATGGATAAATTCATTATCATCAGCTATCACAAGGCCAGGGGCTAACTGTTTATATGAAAGCTCAGGTTGAAGCTTCAGAAAATTAATACAGATTCATGAAAGTCAAAATGTAACCCTGAGTTTATCCCACGTGGATTTCAAGACCATTTCAAGGAAAGATATGATGCATTGAATGTGAATGATTTAAAGACCAAAAGAATTGTGAGATGACACGAGGAAAACAAAAGGTCATGAAAATGACAGAAAATAAAATCAATGTCAGAATGAATGTCAGAAGAGACTTAAAAACTTGCTGTTTAACATATAGGAACTGACGTGACTGAAAGAAATGAAAGAAGAGATGGATAACCTTTTAGGTTAGCAGATCACTACTTAACACACTGCTCCACTAGAGATCCCAGCAAACTGCCCAGTCTTAGTTGGGTGTCAGCATCTTATTGGATGTCAAATACATAAACTATTGTAAGCATAGAACGTTTGCGCTTTGTGGCAATTTTGTTGGGAGACGATAAATGAAAGGAGAAAGAGATTAAGTTTCAGCAAATGAGCTAGAACAGTGTTCCTGGAACTGGGAGAGCTGGGATTCTGTAAGATCTGTCATTAGTCAGATGGGTGTGTCTTGCCTTCCTCCTATAGACAGATTC